TGTTTGTGGAGCTGAGTCAGGAGCATCTGCTAATGAGAAAGAATCAAAGGGAAGCGCTCTGGGGTGGCTGCTTTGCTGAGGTGGGTTTGCAGCAGTCACTGCCCTCACTTCAAAGAGGCTCTGCCTGCTGACATCACCCCGCCAAACATTATATCAGCAACAATTCTGCCCAGGAGGCAGAAGGAGCTGAAACCCGGCTCCAGATGGCTGGGCAGGGTTCATTGTGGCTCCCAGGCTGGCCACACAGGTTTCTGCACTATCAGGAACTCTGATTCTGCACAGGCCGTGAGTGAAAGTCCAACGATCCCAAAGGTGAGGCAGTGAAGCCTAATTAGGACAACGCCAGAGATGACCTTGGTTTATCTCCCTGAAGGTGACACTCTTGCCCAAGACTGGGTGTCACCCCTGGGTGTTGTGATAGTACAACTATTTGCATAGGCAAGGAATTAATGTGTTTGTGAAACGTTTTCAGGCCTCAGAACATCCCCAGGGTGTTTGACTCCGCAGGGTGTTTCCAGAAAATCCTCCTAAATGCTCAGTTCTGGCAGAAAGAGGCTGATTTTATGAATCTGCAGCTCCTGGGTCAAAATGATGGGGATGGCACAGGGTGAGGGGGTGGTCTTCCCCAAGAATATTTGGCAGATCAAGAGAGAAGAGGGTTTTTGGAAGATCTTTTGGGGGGTAAAAGGAGAAATTTTCTTTTCTGATGTTCTTGTGGAGACCTTCTCACTTTGCAGCCTTGGCAGGACCCCCAGGGGCGTGGTGGGACTGGGGTTCACTGGGTGTGCTTTGTCTTTTCTAGGGCTTAACAGACCAGAAAAATCCCCTAAATTTAATAGGAGAGCCCAGGACTTGTAGTTTTTGTTCACTTCTAGCTGGGATTGAACTAGATTTTGAACACTGAGAAATGACCAAGAACTGTTGGCAGGATAAACTCAGAGGAAACAAATGTTGAAGGAGCACAGAAGGAAAGGGAATGAAGGGAGTGGAGCAGAAGAAACCTCACCTGGTGCTGACCAGAGCTGAACTAAAATCTGCTGTACAGCAAGAAAATCGAAATGCTGGGTTGGCCAGAGCAGGAAAGCAAATTAAATTATTTCAGTGACGTCAAATCCCTTTGGATTCCTGATCCCTGCGTGTTTTAATTAACCCTGTTTCTTGTTCATTGGTGGAAACCGCAGCCCTGCAGCTCCTGAGAGTCAATCCTGCAACGTTCAGTCTCCCTCTGCTTGCCCCACCTGGCATTGCACAACCTGCCTCCCTGTCCCTCTCCAGGGGAAGTTTGGCTTTCTCTCCCCCACCCCAAGGCTTCGTTTCACAGCACAGAGGTACCAAAACCTTTTCCCTCTCTCATGGGAAGCCCTGGGCTGAAGGGTTATGACCCTTGACTGGGTTATAACTTTGTGCATCAGCTTTATCTCCCTGTGGTGGCTGTGACATCACCCAGGGGACAGTCCCCGCTCGGGATCATCCCTGGGATGCTCAGCCTGACCTGTCCAAGGTGGGAAGGAGCTGTTGGCACCATCAGGCCAGGAATGGAGGTGCAGAAGGGCTGAGCTGGCATTGCTGAGCCCTCCTGCTCTGCAGAAGATGTTGAGGAGCCTCCACGACATCCCTTGTAGGTCCTGGCTTGGCCTTCAGCAGGATGTGTTTGAGAAGGGAATTTTTTCCCCCCAGGGCAATCCCACACAATCACCTCCAACTTTCAGGGCGATTTATGGCCTGGAAACCCGAAGTTATTTAATCAGGAACAAACCACAGGAATGTAAACAAACAAACAGGAGAATGGAGGAGGTATTTTTAGCAACCTGTGGGTGGAGCAGGTAAATCTGCTGTGAGTCATCCTGAGTCCTTGGGGTGGCTACAGGGTGAGAAATGCTGTCCAGCACAGGCCTCTGCTGCCACAGGTTTGCCCTGGAGGGGCCGAATTTAATGGAAATTTAAATGCTCCAGGGCTAGAACTAATAATGGCTGGATTAACAATGCCTCATTAATGAGGTTTTTATGCCTAATTTAAAGAGGTGTTATTACCTGAACATATGGAATCTGATGAAATATGAGTTGATTCATCCCACGTTTAGTGCAGGAAGAGCAAGGACAGGTTAGAGATGAGGATTTGGGTCATCCCATGTCTTTGATCCAACGTTTCGTGCAGGAAAAGCAAAGGTTGGAGTGACCTGGGCTAGTGGGAGGTGTCCCTGCCCGTGGCAGGGGGTGGAACCAGAAGACCTTTAAAATCCCTTCCCAGCCAAGCCATTCCAGGACTCCATGGTGGTGGCAGCTGCTGCATTTGACTTGCTGACCTGCAATTACACAGAGCCCTCCAGGAGACACGTTCTGGGGCTGTTAAAGGCCACTGATATTCAAAACACACGAATATTTCCTGTTCAGGCACGATGCAAACTCAGCCTGGTGCACCCTGGATTGCCCAGGGGAGGAGATGCTTGGCTTGGGATTTTCCCACACACTTAAAAAAGCACTGGGGGACGTGAGAGGTGATTCATTTAAAATTTAAAAAAGCTTCTGAGGCATGAAAAAAAAAAGGCACAGAAATGATCTCACGTGCAAAGCGACGCCCGAGATCCTCGTCCTGAAGAGCGGGAGTTGCTCAACCCCTGCGTGTCCAAATCCAGAGGCACAGGCTGGGTTTTGCAAGGCCTGGCTTGGGTACACACATAATGAGTGTTTGTGAAGCCTTCCCAGAGCTCTGGCTGTTGGTCCTGGAGGGATCGGGCAGGAGCCACCTGGAGCTGGGGCTGATTTATGGAAAAAGCAGCTGCAGAGTGAATTTGGGGATTCTGAGACCTCAAGTGGATAAATGTGGAGAAAAAGTCCTGGGGGCTGAGGAAGGATGTTGGAAACACTGGGAATTACAGTGGGGAAACATGAACACATTAATTCTCAGCCTAAGAACTCATTAGTTTTAGCCATTGCTGCGTGTTGGCCAATACAGAGAAATATTTCCTTTGCATTGTTCAGCTGCACGTACCCACCTGGCAAATCCCACCTGGCAGATTCCACCTGGCAGATTCCTCATTGAAATTCCACCTGGCATATTCCACAGTGCAGATTCCACATGGCAGATTCCACAGTGCAGATTCCACACTGCAGATTCCCCTTGCACAAGCTGTCCCATCGTGGTGGCCCAGGGAGGGTGACAGTGTCCCCAGGGAGGTGACAGTATCCAGGTCCTGCCTGGACATGTCTGGTCGGTGATTTTTGTCCCATTTTTGGGGAATAGCCTCATGACTTGGCTGGGGAATTAATCCCAGTTCTTTAATTAATTAAGGCAATCTGCATCTCTGGGCTGGGCAGGGATGAGGCACCTCAAGTGCTGTGTCCTTCACTGCCAGGGAGACATGGAGGGGTTGGAGCGTGTCGAGGGAAGGGAAGGGAGCTGGGGAAGGGGCTGGAGCAGCAGGAGAAGGGTCTGGAGAACTCCTGAGGGAGCTGGGGGGGCTCAGCCTGGACAAAAGGAGGCTCAGGAGGGACCTTCTGGCTCTGCAACTCCCTGACAGGAGGGGGGATCCCGAGGATCTTCTCCCAGGGAACAAGGGACAGGAGGAGGGGAAATGGCCTCAAGCTGTGCCAGGGGAGGGTCAGGTTGGCCATGAGGAGGAATTTCCCCCTGGAAAGGGTGTTCAGGCCTTGGCAGGGGCTGCCCAGGGAGGTTTGGAGTGCCCAGCCCTGGAGGTGCCCAGGGCAGGACTGGCTGTGGCACTGAGTGCTCTGGGCTGGGGCCAAGGTGGGGATGGATCAAAGGTTGGACTTGATGATCCTGGAGGTCTTTCCCAACCTCAGGGATTCTGGGATTTTGCTTGGACTTTTGCTCCTGACAGCCTGGGAAGGAGCCTGGAGGAGGTTTCCTGGTGACCCCCTTGGGAGGGGCTGGCACTGCCCCAGGCAGGGCTCAGCTCTCCAAACCAGCAGCATCCTCAGTCCACGGCAAAAGGCAGGTCAGGTGAGCTCTGAAAAAATGCAAAACTCCTGCCCATGTCCCGTGGGGATTTGGTTAATGCTGCTCTGGGGGTTGAGCCTCAGGAAAAGGTCACAAAGACACTCAGGGGGACTCACAAGGGCCAAAAATAAAGTGCAGAGAAAAAGGTTCACCAGGAACTGGAGGGACAGGACAGGGGGAGATGGGATCACACTGACAGAGGGGAAATACAGGTTGGATATTGGGAAGGGAATGTTCCCTGTGAGGGGGGGAGGCAGTGGTTTTCCAGGGAATTTGTGGCTGCCCCATCCCTGGAAGTGTCCAAGGCCACGTTGGAGCAACCTGGGACAGTGGAAGGTGTCCCTGCCCATGGATTGGAACAGGATGAGCTTTGGAGTCTCTTCCAACCAACTCGTTCTGGGATTCTGAAAAAGGAAAACCCAAAAGTGCTGCTGCAAGACAGAATTTAATGGGAATGAGAAGCTGAATATACACGAGCAAAACTCTCTGGATATAATCAAAGACTTTCAGGACTTCAGGAGGGTCCACAATGAATCCCCAGTTCCAGGATTTTGCATTGATTGCTCTTCTTTGGTCAGAAGGATTTGGCAAAAAAATCTGCAATTACAAGTGCTTGATATTTTTGGTTTTGCCCTGGCTTGTATCCAATGAGATATAGGCAGAAAAAGAAGCTGGGAAAGCATTACATTGTGGGTCTAAGCAGAAATAAAGCAAAAGAAAGGCTTACAAATACCTAATTTTAAGAAATGCCAAGTAGAGCTGGTTTTTTTTTGGTTTTTGTTTGTTTGTTTGTTTTTTAATGCTGGTTCAGTAAAATTTACAAAGGAATATGAATTTAGATAAAATTTCATTTTGGAACCCAAGATTTTCAGACCTATTCTTTTGATGTATTTTATACTTTTTATTTGGAGATAAATTGATAATAGAACATCAATGTTGGCATAAAAATGAATTTATTGACACACACTTTTACCAAACCAAGAAAATAAAATAAAGATTTTTTTAGAAAATCTGGTTTCTCCGAAAATTCGGGGGGTTATTTCATCCTAATTTTGAACCAGGTCAGTGGTGAAATTTCAGTTTCTTGGAGTTTGGAAATTCTAGTCCTCGGGCAGGTCTAGTGCCAGGAAGCCATGGATTTATTGACTCCACTGGGAACCTCGGGAGCTCAGCACTTCTCTAATCCATTATCCATAAACTTAGTCGGGCTCTTTAGTGCTCAGTCCTGCTTTTCAGTCTATCCACAGATATCCGTGGTGGGTTTGGGTTGGCCTGCAAGTTCTACAACAAAACAGTTGGGATGAGTGAGGAGGAAAAGGATTAAAGTTCCCTGCACCACAAAACGACCCTGCTGAGTTCATCAGAGCGGCCCCAGAACCAAACCTACCCCTAAACCCAAGGGCTCCCCCGGCTCCAAGGAAGCTCCTGACGTCCAGGAGGGTGGATCCCACGATGGTGTGCTGGGGGAAGGTGGTGAGCCTGGGCCCGGGGTAGATCAGGGAGTAGGGGGGCTGGTGGGGCTCCACGATGTCCACCACGGTGTCGGGGTATTGGATCACACAGGTCTCATTGCAGGTCACAGCAAAGGGCTCGGGGCACTGCAACCCCGGCAGGCAGCACCCCTGGAAGGGAGACATGGGGCAGGGCCACACCTGCAATGGGGGGAGAAAGGACACGGTTAGTCCTGCAGGAACTGGGGATTAAATAGCAAGATTTAAAAGGTAAAAGGGCTGCACGATGGGTAGGGGGGCATTTGGGAAATGGGGGAATTGCAGAGGGTCAATGGGGGAGTTGTAAAGGGCAATTATGGGAATTATAAAGGGTAGAAGCGGGAGTTAAAAAGGGCAAATGGAATTACAAAGGTCAAATGTGGGAATTACAAAGGGCAAATGGGAGAATTACAGAGTGGAAATAATTCAGGTGAGAATTTTGTCCAGTTTAGTTTTCAAGCTGGTAACTCTTCTCCTTCCCAAGAAACCCTTTTGAACTCCATTGCTTCAATATCTGATGATATTTTCCAGACCACCACAGTTTTCACGCTAAAAATCCCTTGTCCTGTTCCTTCTCTTCTCCAGGGTTTTCAGTGTGTGGCACTGCTCTGTCTCACTCTTATTAATTGAAAGCCACAACTCCCAACCCAATTCCATATTTTAAACTTGGATTTTAATCCTCACTGCACTGGCAAGGGCAGAACCCCCGGGGGAGAAGCTCCTTCCCTCCTCTCACCTGGTTCCAGGTGGAACAGAATGATCCAGGATGGAGACCCACCCATCTTTTATTGGTCTCATTACAGATCATCTGAATATTTGAAATCACACAGCTCTTTAAAACCCAACCTGATATCCAGGCCAGATTTTTCTGGGCATTGTTTAATTACAGATTGTCAGGCCCTCCTTGCCCTGGATTGTGCCCACACTAATTGGGTGAGGAAAACAGTGGGGGAGAGGGATAATTTCCTTTACTTTACCTTGGTGAAACTGGTGTGGAAGGAATTAAGGGCTGGCAAAGGGTGGGCTTGGACTGATTTCCTGAAGAAGTCCCTACATTTACCCCAGGACTCTGGGGGAGAGAGAACATTTGTGTCTCCCTCTAAATATCCCATTTTAACCTTCTAAAATCCTCAGGGCTTCCCCTTCAGCTTTCCCCCAGTGATTCGAGTTGCCTTTAACTCAGAGGCAGGGAAAAGGCACCACAGAATATTGTCCCAGCTAAACAGCTGGACCTGGAATGGCCAATTCTGGCTTGGGGAAAAGAATTGCTGCCACAGATTGCTCCCAGAGCTGGGATCTTGGAGTGGCCCAAGGCAGACAAACAATTTGCCAAAGCTCATCCCGGTGCTCATGAAAAGAGGTGAAGGAGGAGCACTTGGGTGCTCCTTCTGGGTTTGGAATTCAACCCTAAAAATGAGACCAGCTGAAATAAACTGGTTCAAACGTTTATAAAAATAAACCCACTCAAACAGGACCAGCAGTAAAGTGGCTTTTTTTAGTAAGAAAAATCTGTGCAGGATTTTGAAAATATTCAGGACAAGTTCTCCAGCTGTAGGAAGACACTGGAGCCTCCTTGAAGGCAGCTGAGGATGAGATTTAAATTAAAAATTAATGCTTAAAATTATAATTTCTTTAATGAATCTGTGTCTTTAGAATATGAAAGGAGCACTTGCCACTGTAAAATTACTGAGACTCTTCAGAATTCTGAGGGAGTTTTCTGTCGTGTCCCTGCTTTAAATGAACACCAACAGCTCAAGCTCTGAAGAATAGAACTTAAATTGACTTAAAACTGAAGGATAACAGAAAGGATATTTCTGGAAAAAAACACCCCCTTGCCATTTCAGAAGCTTAACCTCTGATTTGATATTTAGCCAGCAATAATAATTGATTTAAAAGGCAATAATTGATTCAAAATTGACTTACCCGGATCACCAAGGAGAAGAGTTAAAGACAAGTGATTAGGAGGGTTCTACGTAGCAAATGCTTTTATACACTTAGTCAAATGGCCTGGAGGATGTGACACCCTTTTTGCATGAAGTCTTAATTAGTTGCAAAACAAACTTTGCTGCATGCATAACTTCTGCAAGTAATGAAACTGTTTTGCTCCCTGTTTGTGTTTGTTCCCTCTCGGACCTTCCCAGAGCTGAATCTGTGGCCCAACCTCCAGGCAGGAGCCCCTGAGCCCCTTCCTGGGCCAAAAAAGGGCCTGATCTGCTTCTGAAAGCACAGTTCAGTCATGGCAGGGCTCCATCAGGGCTGCTGGGCTTTGCATTATGTTTTTCCCTCTCAAATTCGGGCTGGGAAAGGGATTCAGGGGAGTAACAGCAGCATCTTTGCCTGTCAGGAAACAGCTTTTTTTTTTTTTTCTTCATTTCCCAATTTTCCAGTGTGGAGGAGATTTTTTTATTCTGAAACGCCTTTAAATGTAAATGTTTATATCTATAGAAACTTATATAGTTTATATCTATAAAAACCTATATCGTTTATATCCACAGAAACCTATATAGTTTATATCCACAGAAACCTATATAGTTTATATCTATAAAAACCTATATAGTTTATATCCACAGAAACCTATATAGTTTATATCTATAGGAACCTGTGGGTATCTGTGGATATCCAAAGATAAGGAGAACAACTCAATAAACACTCAGCCATTTTCCCAGTGCCATTAAACATCCCTGGGCAGAATCAATCCCAAAGGAGGAAGCTCTGCCTTGTCTCACCTCCCCCCCAGTCTTTAGAAACGGGGCTTGTGTAGGATTCGAGGAGCATCTGGGTTTGTTTCTGGCTCGGAAGGTCTGACCCTGTTGCAATGAAAGGCACATCAACACCACCCACGTTCTCCTGTCCCTGACTCCAAGTGGAGTCACAGAGTCACAGCTTGTTGGTTTTTCTGTTTATTGGATTTCCCCCCCCCCCCTCTAGTTTTTGACCAGGTTGTAAAGGACAATATTATAGGAAAGGTTGTGCTCTGAAACTGGTGTTTCCATCCAGGCTCTGTTTTTCTGTGACTGAGGGGGAAAAAATAACACTCAAGAAATAGCTCTGTCCTGATGAGAACTTAATTTAACACAGGTAAGAGTTGTGAGTTCAATATTAAACCAGTAAATTATTGGAGAAAATGGGTGTGGGCACTTTGACAACATTTTTATGAGGGACCCAGACACGTGGATTTAAAAGGGTTTTTGCAAAGAGGGAAATCAATATGGCAGAAAAATTCTAACAAAGGGGAGGAAAATCAGGAGTCCCATGGAAACAGATTTCCAAAGGAGCCACCAGTCAGAGCAGCCAGGAGGGTTTTGGGATAACAGTCTCCTCCTGCCTCGCCAGCTCATAAATCAGAAACAGTTTGATTTAATACATGAAAAGGTGTTGCTAATTTAAATCTCGTTGTCCTGCAGGGATGGGGCTCACTCACCTGGCTGGGGACACACTTCACAGGGCCAGTGCAGGTCCCCGTGCTCAGCCCCGCTGCACAAAGCTCCATCTGCATAAATCCCAGGAAACCTTTTGTTCCCGAGTTCCCACAAAGGCTTTTGCCTTAGGACCCCTCCGGAGCTGCAGGTGATTTATGCTGTGAGGGAAAACGGCGAGTAAATAATAATTAGGAGCAAAGGAATCCTCGCTCCCGGTTTGCAGGGCGAGGGAGGGAGGGAAGGAGGGAAGGGAGGCAGCTCCTCTCCTGGCACCTCTCCCCGGGAATATAAACCTCGGGACAGGGGGATGAGGATTCCTGGCAGCCTTGGGTGGCAATGAGGTCCCAGGGTGGATTTGAGACAAAGTTTAGTGTGGGGTTAAAGCTTTTTGGCCCTGGGGTGACTAAGAGAAGTGGCCCAGCTGGGAGGATTGCCCTGCTCAGGGTGGGAGGTGTTTTATTTATTCATTCCTTGCTGTTTATCCAGAGTGCTGGAGGTGCCTCCTGGCAGGGGCAGAGATGCCCCAGCTGCTCTGGGGAGCTGAGGATCTGAGGCTGAGGCACCTTATTGCATCAAACTGACATTTGGCTTTAATTTGTTAAAGTGGGAGAGGGCAGGTTTAGATTAAATATTGAGGATCAATTCTTTACTCTGGGGGTGGGGAGGGTTGCCCAGAGAAGCCGTGGCTGCCCCATCCCTGGAATTGTTCAAGTCAGGTGGGAATATCCTGAGATTTACCCCTAATTAACCTGCCTAAGCCCTGCTCTGCCACTGAGGAGCTGTGGAACACTGAAGCTGTGCAGGAGGGTTATTTCAGCTGTAAATTTGTATATAAACAGACAGGGGCACTAATAAATAGTTACATATTTTTATTTTCGTGTAGTGAGGTTTGGTCTTTGCAGTTCAACCACTCAACACTCCTTTTAAAGAAAACAATTGATTGTGTTGATATGAAATACACACAGCCTGCTGCTCACAAGCCAAGTGAAGGTAAACCTTAAACATGAAGGTAAAATAAAAAATCCATTTTTTAACTGACTGCAAACCACCCCAGGCCCTGTTCTTAGGGAGGAGAGCATCGTGTGCAGTAGATCCCTTAATTAATTACTGCAGTTGCCCCAGTGGCTCAGTTTTATGGTAAAGCAAAGCCACCTTTTTGGGCACTCCATAAAAATGTTCTCCTTTGCCCTTCCCTCCCAGCTGGACTTTTCGTTGCCTTTGGCACATTTTAATTCCAGTTATTATCTGGGTTTAATAGCGAAGCACAGAAGCTGAATGGATTGTCAGAGGTCACTCAGGGAGCAAAGGGAGCAGCCTGGAGTGAAGCAGCCTCTCCTCACTGCCATTTATCACATCATGGGTAATTGGTATCTCAGCAGCCCTTTGAAGTCTTAACTGGGGTTCCATTGCCTGCACCAGCACAGGCAGGTGCCCACAGCCAGGAGCAGCTGATTAGGCCTGAGAAACAAAGGAGAAGGATTTCCTCCCTGCTGCAGATGCCACAGGGATTAAGGGAGGGGCTGGCAGGGCTGGGAGTGCTTTTGGCCGTGTCCTGAAATGGCTTTTCCAGTTTGGCCCAGGAAAGCTCTGCCAGTCAGGGAGTAAACACAGCCCCGAGTCTGAATTCCTTAAATCTGAAGAGCCCCCAGTTCATTCCCATCTGCCAGAGCTGTTCCAGGAAATCATGGAATGGTTTGGGTGGGAAGGGTTTCCAAAGACCCTCCAGTGCCACCCCCTGCCAGGGGCAGGGACACCTTCCCCTGTCCCAGGTTGCTCCAAGCCTTGGACACTTCCAGGGATGGGGCAGCCACAGCTTCTCTGGGCCAGGGCCTCACAGGGCATAAATTTTTCCTAACAGCCTGCTCACAGTGAACAGTGAACACTGACTTCTTTAAATTTTCCCCTTTTCCACAAGGCAAAAAAAAGTGCCAGGTTTTCCAAAGCTGCTTAAAGTGTTTAAAGCACAATCCCTAATTAAATCCCATGGCTTTGTTTATGTATTTCGAAACTTAAACTGCCACTTAAGAAATCTGCAATTACTGCAAATTACTAACTATGGAGTAATGATCTTCAGTAAAAAAATAATACCTTTTTAATGAAAATCCTGCATCAAAAATCATCCCTTAGGTAATGGTTGGTTCCCAAGGAACAATTGTCTCCATGTGGATTTAGCTGCTTTTCTGAAACACATAAAGGGGAGGGGGGAAATAAAGAAAACAAGTAAATAATAAGAATAGAAATAGGAGGCCCAAACTGTGGGAATTTTCTTAAATTAATTGAAATATTAAAGAAGCCTTTTGTGTGTGAGCTCCTAATTAGCTTCCCAGATTGTTTGGTTTTTTTTAAGTTCTGCATTCTCTCTGTGATGGTCAGACTGGTCCCATCTGCATATTTGCATATTTTCTGACCTCAGTGCATAACTAGAGAAGGTCCATCAGTAACCTTGACACGTCTCTCGGGGTGACCTTGCAGGCCTGTTTTAGAGCTCTGCAATCTTGCTGGATGCCCGAAATATGATAATGAGCGTTTTCCATGGATAACTCATTAATGGCAGTTTGCAAAGTGCTTTGAAAAGCCTTCGACGTGAAACCTCCTCGGGCTGTTCCCGGTGCCTGGAGCTGCCCCGGGCTCTGTGCAGGACCAGCTCGGGAGGTGAGGGCCACTGACTGAGCGAGTTCATAAAGAAACTCAACAGAAACGAGACACGAAATGCTTTGCAGAGAAAGGGGGTGGAACACGGAGGCTTTTCCCCGCTGGAATCTCCCAGCCTTCCATCCCGCGGTGCCCCAGCAGGGCTGACCTGGCACAGAGGAAAGGCTGGGGAACTGGGGTCGTTCTGCCCGGGCAGAAATAGGTGGTTTTGTTCCTCAGAAAAGGACATTTCTGGCCGTGCTCACCCTTCCTGAGGGACCAGGTGTCCCTCCTCACTCAAGCTCTGCTTAGCTGGGCACCAACCCCAGTTAAAGGGTCTGTCCCTGAGGATCGGGGAAGAGCTGCAGCCACCAAGGACGACACAAACCCGTCCCCAGGTAGCCCATCCCTGGGCTGCTGTGCCCAAACCTGCAGCTCAGCCAGGGGACGAGCAGGGAAAGTGCGTGAGCTCTGCCCTTCCTTCCCCGCAGACAGAATCCCCGCCTGCAGTTGTTTACCTGCTCCCTGTTTGCTTCTCTGACAGAGCAGTAAAAATCCTCCTCTGCAAATGCCTCCAAATGCTGAGCTGTGCTGGAGGGAGCCCCGAGGCGGAGTCTCTTATCAGGAGCTCGGCGTCCTCCCCATCAGCTGCCAGTGCCAGGTGCTCATTAATGGTCCTGCATTCCCGGCGCTGTGTGATTATCCCGCTGTGCTCCAGGCACCCGGGAATTGAGAAATAAAACCCCTTTAAGATAAACAGAGCAAAGCCTCAGCTGTCACTCCACTCATCAGCTCATAACCAGGTCAGGGTTCTTGGCTCATCATGCCTTTTCTTTTTATTTTTTTTTTAAATTTCCTACACAGTTTTCATATTAAATCCCACTAATTGAATGGATAAAATAATT